TATATAAGTAAACCTTTCTCCTAAAATACACTCTATTACTTATACCAAACCTCTAAAAGAGCGTCTTGTATGATCCCCTCTTTCTGGTGTCACTCTTCTTTTTTAGGTGAAAGGGTCAGAAGTTTTACGGCATGATGGAACACCTGTTGCATATGCTTCACAGCCCACTGAAACAGTATGCTGCTTCATTTTTGTTCTTGCAATGTCTTATGTGTGTGTGTATATATATTCTGCAAGGTTCAAGTCCTAGGAGCAGTCTCTTGCAAAATATTTTGCATGGTAAGGTTTGCTTGCCCACAATATACCCTTGTGATGAGATCCTTATCCGGACCATCATTTAGCGGGATGCTTTGTGCATCGAGCTGCTCTTTATATGCTCTTTATATATATAATATAGAATGCTTAAATGGCATGAGATGAGAGCATATAATTACTTACTTCTCTTTTGCTTTTAGCCGATTGACATCATACCAGCCGTTCTGTTTGGTTTCAGATTAACTACGTCTCTGCTCATGACAATGAAACCTTGTTTGACATTATCAGTATGAAGGTAAAATAGGCTTGGAGCCTTTAATGTAGAACCAACTTCGTACTTGATTGAAATTCAAATCCTAAATGCTATAGTGTGTTTAACCTATGCTTTTGAGGCATTAAATTCTGATGCCTCTGCTCCTTTAGTATACTTTGGTTGAACTTTTTTCTGATTTGTCAATCCTATTGCTGGCAGACTCCAATGGGACATTCTGCGGGTGAAAGATGCCAAATAAATCATCTGGCCTCCAGTATGATAGGACTATCACAGGTTCAATTATCTCCGATTTTGACCTAGAGCCGGATTACTCATCGATTTAGATTTAACAGAAAAGATTACTCTTCTTTTAAGCCTTGTAATCTGCATTACCTGTCAACTATGACCTTAGTTATTGATTAGTTGGACACTGTATGTGCTATAGTTTAAACTGCAGATTAGGGGATTACACTTTAGCTCGAGAGCATATCTCATGTTGCTCTTTACAACTTAAATTTCATATTATCTATTTTTCATATGCAGGGAATACCATTTTTCCATGCGGGGGACGAGATTCTACGCTCAAAGTCACTTGATCGTGATTCATACAACTCCGGTGACTGGTTCAACAGGTCTGTGTTTTCTCCCTGTTTTATTTATCTCTTGTATCAACCATTTCTCATTTACAGACATGGCGCAGTCATGAGTAAGTATGAGATGAAAGATTGATTATGTTTTATGCACAAACTTATCTACATCTCTTTGAAACGCCAAGTCATAGTAATTCTATTTGACATTTTCTCGAACCCGTTCTCAGGCTGGACTTCAGTTACAGTTCCAACAACTGGGGTGTCGGGCTTCCTCCAAGGGAGAAAAACAAACAGAACTGGCCACTGTAAGCTACAATTTCCTTCATGGACTAATAATAAGCCTCTGTTTTTACAGTTTTCCCCTTATATGTATAACATGCTGCTGAGCCAGTCATGCCGTTGCTACTGTGCTCAGAATTAAACCGAGATTACGAGATCCATCATTCAAGCCTCAGAGTAGCCACATTATCTCTGCTTTCCACAACTTTTTAGATGTCTTACGCATCCGATACTCCTCTCCTCTTTTCCGCTTGAGAACGGCAAATAACATCCAGGTGAGAACAACCAACTGCTCGAACAATACCATAAAGCATTCCTATATCTACCTGCTACTACATTTATGGCTCATTTCTGAATGCTTGATTCAGATTTGCGAGAGTTTAATGAACCGTGATAAAACATAATCTTCCATTTTGTTGAACGTGCGAGAAAAACTAAGATCTGTTTTTTTTTTCCGGTGTCATCACTTATCACTGCAAACTCAACACGAAAAGACATTTAAATCCTTATTCAATTATATGATCCCTCTTTTTTGACAGGAGCGAGTAAGATTCCACAACAGTGGCCCCTCAGCTATCCCAGGTGCCATTGTGATGAGCATTGAAGATGGTCACAAAGGCATCCCAGGTTTATCTCAGATCGATCCATTGTGAGTAAAAAACAAAGTAGCTGATGCAAAATTCTGTATACTATACGTTATATTGCACGACACCATTCAGTGGTAATTTTGTTACCCTTTTGTGCAGATATTCATACATAGTGGTTATTTTCAACGCACGCCCATCGGAGCTCTTGTTCCATAGCCCTGTTATTAAAGGCAGGAATCTGAAATTACACCCGATACAGGTAACGATCTAATGTTTTTTTATTACACAAATTTGAAGGAGAGTCTTGGCACACCGGTTAAGGTGTTGCCATTGTGACCTAGAGGTCACGAGTTCGAGCCTTGGAAGCAGCCTCTTGCAGAATATTCTGCAAGGTAAGGTTTGCCTACAATACACCCTTGTGGTGGGACGCTTCTCCGGACCCCTGCTCAGGCAATGCTACATATATCAGAAACTGAACCAAATTCCATGGAAGAAGCATATACTAAGTTTGCTCTCTTTGGTTATATCACACCCTTCGTTGCTGATATAAATGGCTAATGATCTTTGTGCAGATTGAATCAGAGGATGAAGTAGTGAAGAAATCGGTGTACGACTCATCTTCTGGATGCTTCACTGTTCCAGGAACGACCACATCGGTGTTTGTTGAGCCGAGGAACAGTTGAACTTGAACTTCTACCAACAGGTATGTACATATCTCACACATGTAACTCAGTCTTGCTGTAATAATCTTGCAATTGGTGTCAAGCTCTTTGGAACAAAACCATGAGCATGCATGTATGGATCAAAGACATAATAGGTGTTGAGGTTGATTAGTAATAGTATTTGTCTTGCCCGTGTTTAAATGGACTCTAGAGGGACCAAAGTTGCTATTTAGTATCTTGTTCTTGTTGAGTTGGCACAATTCGCATGATTTAGTTGTTTATAAGTTCTTGTTTTTGTAAGTTTTGGACTATGATCTGTTGTTTGGTTTTGGAAGAAATCCAAGCATTAAAATGCTATTTTAAATTTTTAAAAAAAAGTTTGTATTTATTTTGACGTTTTATAGCTGACGACCCAAAGAAATTTTTTGTACCACGAGATTCGCCTTGGTTTCACACGTTAGAAGATTGCTTTTCATTATTTTTTTTAAAATAAAACTAGATTGAGATAAGGCAAGGCTGTTAATGCAGTTCTTGTCCATGATTCAAGGATCTCTAAGCTTCCCTATCTTCTTCTACTGATAATTGATGAATAAATTGCGCTACACTCATCCTCTTAAGTTTATATATACACACACACACACACATATATATATATATATATATATATGTGTGTGTGTGTGTATACATATGTGTGTATATGTATGTTGAAGTTGGAAACGTGCGTCCATCAAAGGAGACACAAAATCTACAAGACCATCATCACTTTCATGACACTTCAAGAGTTTACAAAACGACTTGTTCTCCTTAACTCTTCCATTATCCCCTCTCTCTCTCTCTCTCTCTCTCTCTCTCTCTCTCTCTCTCTCTCTCTCTCTCTCTCTCTCTCTCTCTCTCTCAATTATACCCTTTGGTTGAAACTGGTTCAAGAAGTAAACCCTAGTTACTGCTCTCATTATTACCCTTCAATTTGTATTTGCGTTAAAAGCAAAATAATGCAAGCTCTGAATTAAATGTAGATTAAATAAAATAAAAACATAGCACGTTTAATAGAGGTTTATGATAATTGCTGAATCCATAACTTGTTATGCCTTACATTGAAACTTTACGTATTCACAATATATATATATATATATATATATATATTTTATGACGTTATATGTACTTTAAAGTTTATGTACTTAAATATAATTTATTTTATGCTAACGTATTACATGCAGTCCATGTTATCCAGTCGACTCTTGCCCGCCCTATCATTGGGAGATTATCAATAATTAGTCACTAATCATTTCTTTTTTTTTTTTTTTTTCAAATCATTAGCTACTAACCATTTCTTCCAAGAGTTGGAGAATAGACTTTATATTATATTAATTAATTCCGGACTATAATAATCCCCCAGTTCATACACCGCGATCACATACATAATCGTGTGTGTGTATATATATATATATATATATATATGTATATTCGATATTGGATCTAAAAAATATTACTGTAGGGAATGTTAAGTTGTTAACATTGATAAAACATAAAATATTAGCGTAATTATACAGAGATCAAATATATAAAACAAAACTAATTTTCACTAAGTTGTATCGTCGATTTAAACAATTCAAATCAATTTTAATGACGTGGGATCATTTGGCCTTGATACTAATCAACTAGATCCGTCTATATATATATACACACACACGCGGCAATATTCTTTACGTGGAGCGGGTGCTCTTCACATCATGCAATGCAAGCATGACGAATCTTCGTATAATTCTATACATACACACTGATACACACACGTCAATGTGTTGTCTATACATTGATATGTATGTATGTATGTATGTATGTATGTATGTATGTATGTATACATTGCATTATTTGTGTCATTTACGTGCAATTCTATAATATCTCATCGCTCCTTATACAAATCGCATAGAAATATAAACACTAGGTATAATTATAGTATACATACATACATACATATTATATATTAAAAGAGAAAAAAAAATAAAAGAAAATAATAAGATGGAGAGGTGGAGTAATGGTAGGGAGAGATGGAGGGAGAGCCGTAGATTCCGTGAGAGACAGGCTTTCTCTATCATTACACAATCGTCTCTCTCAACCTCTACTTCTCTTCTCTGATTTCTTTTTTTATTTTTTATTTTTAAATTTAACATCCTTAAGTACATAATAACACACACACACACACACACATATATATATATTCTAATTCCATATATGTAACTTCTAAACATAAAATTAAAAATTCGATTACAATTCGGTGTATGGATAATCAATTCTTTCATGAGAGCACTCACCACATTTCCAACATATTTTTTTAATAATCCGTAATTTAATCAAAAATTTGATCCAACTATATATTTCAAAAAAATTGAAAAGTTCGATTGAATATCTTTTCCAGGTTTGGATTTGAACCCAGGATAAAAGTATGTTTTACATATTCTCTTGACATTAAACCGTCCAAACTTGGATACATTTTCAATACACTATTGATAACCAATTGTATTGGAAACGATTAATACAACCCATTGTTTAGATTAGGTTCGGTTTTTGTTGTAAATCACTTACAAAAAATAGGAAGTAAAACTAAAGAAAGTACATAAATAGAGGCCGAATGAGTCATTATCACAGAGTAATTAAGACAAAAACAAAAAAAACAAAAAAAAGGGATAATGAATAGTGAATCCGTAATTGTAGAAGAGAAATATATAGTTAACTAAGTAAATGGCTAAATTTGGACAAGATTGGTTATATCCTACGGTTCTACACACACTGTCTTTTTTGTTTTTTTTTTAATTAATTATGATGTGTATGTGATAATTAGTTTTCCAAGTTGGGCAAACGGTGATTAACAGAAATCAAGTGCTAAAATTTAAGAGGTTAACAAATGACAACTCTAAATTAAAAAAAAAAAAAAACATTATTCACACTCTTTTTTTGTTGTTGTGTTTGTGTTTTGGTGTCTCTCTTTGACTCCATTAAAACTGTCCTCATTCTCATTCACTCACTATTTATGTTCATCTCCTCTCTCTCTCTCTCTCTCTCTCTCTCTCTCTCTCATTTACTATATATTTGTGCTCTTTGCTCCTTCTTCTCCACCTTACTCTCCCTTCTCCTTTTGCTTAATCTCTTTTCTCTCTCTCTCTCTCTATGGAAGCTGCAGCGGAGGAGGCGATGGCAGCGATGACAAAGGAGCAATCTTTGGTCGTAAAAGGGAAGAGGACGAAGAGACAAAGGATGCAGTCGCCCTTACCTTTCTCCATAGCCCCAGCTCCTCTCTCGTCACACGCTGCAGAAGAATCCACCAGTCTTCTTCTTGACGACGACGACGACAACGATGATTATTACTCCAAGGACGACAACAATATCAACGCAACAGAAGACGACGACAACAAAATGGTGAACGGTGTAACGATAACTGCATCATCAGCTTCTTCTTCTTCCAACAACAACAACAACGACAACTCTGCGGTGAATGCCG